CTTCTGCTTGGAAGAACTGGACCCAGAGGAGATCCAGGGACCTTTGATTTTAAAAACTATCCTTACAGAAGATTGCGAATCATCCAAACAGAAGTTGACCGATTCTGGAGGAAATGGAGCCAGTTAGCTGGACCAAACCTGTTTGTCCGAACCAAGTGGCACACCATTCACAGGAATGTGGCAGTTGGAGATGTCGTCTGGTTGGCTGACCAGAATGCCTTGAGAGGTCAGTTCAGGCTTGCCAGGGTCATTGACGTCAACACTGACAGGAAGGGAATTGTGAGGGATGTATATCTCCGATCCTTCCCCAGCTACCCAGTCGCAACTGTGAAACCCGCTAAAAAGACACAAGAATACTCAACCAAGATACCTGCAACCGTTCTTCACAGAGATGTCAGACGGATAGTTGTCATACTTCCAGCTGAAGAGCAGCAGTAGCAGCAGGATCCAAAATGGAGTAACTAGACCCGACACATCACAGTTCTGGTGTGACCTCCTTGGGTTGAAGAACCAGGAGGTCAAGTGGGAGGTGTTGTGTCAATTCATGGTTACTTTGCTTTAGTTGTATTGAGCATTCCAAGCCAAGATTCACCCAGGACACTCAAAGCACTCCCAAACTGCAGGGGGCATCCATGCAACAAAAGTTGGTGGAACCAACCTTTGGGGAAGTAGCTTTTGGGACTATATTTGCCTGCGCACCCACAGAGAGAGCATGGCATTGAAATGTTTGTGGAGAGTTCAATTTGTTCTCTCATTTATTCCTGGAAAAGGATATTATGATTACAGCTCCTGATCATTTAAAGACGCAACTGGTAGGACAATTTATGATTAACTGTGTTTGAATATGTTGAGTTTTAAATGTTCAGGTTCTGCTTGGTTTGTAATGTGCAATTTAAAGGTTATGAGGATTTTGTTATGTGAATGTTGAACTTGACAGAAGTAACATGTACATGAGTTTAATTATGGGAATGGTATTTTCTTGTTAAAATCCTAGGTTAAACTTAATGATCGTGTTTAGTTTGGTTTGAAGATTCAATAGCATTCATTTATTATTTCTGTGAGATAGTGGTATTGTGATTTATGTGTGACTGATTCATGATGTATATGTAACTAATTCATGTTTGGTTTGTGTATTTGAAAGGTTTTCAACCTATATCTACTGTTCCATCACTGATCTATCAAATCACCTTCAAGAAACTATACCATATTATTCCATCACTGGTCTATCAAACCATCTCAAAGAAAATAAAGAATCAAGAAGTGAACAGATTGAGTTGTCCTTTGCGTTCTTCAGTGAGAAAAGCAGTTTTCAAGTTTGGGCTGAGCTGTAATCAATTAAAAAACAAACAGAACTTGACAGGTAGCGTCTTCAAATGACAGTCCAGATAGTACATGTATGTCTGCAAGATGTCTGTTAAAGATCACTCGTTAATAGTACACGCACATCACAACGTCTATTTGATGTGTGTGTTTACATCTGGAAGACGTGTTTGCACGTCTGCAATACGTCGATAGGACGTTTCTTGTCAGATGTCAAATTCAGATGTCAAAGACGTTTAGAAGATGTCAGTTTAACATGCATTCTAAATCATTACATCTTAAAGACGTCTTCTAAACATCTATTTGACATCTGACAGGAAACGTCATATAGACGTATTGCAGATGAGCAAACACTTAAAAATATGTCTTCCAGATGTAAATACACACATCAAATAGACGTCGTGATGTGCGAGTACTATCAGGGAGTGATCTTTAACAGACATCTTGCAGACTTACGTGTACTATCTTGGGCTGTCATTTGAAGATGCTAACCTTCCATTAAGTTACGAAAACGTCATTTCCGAAGGTTCTCTGAATGTTCGATTTCTTTTTATTTTTTTGGTTATGGAAGCATTACATTTTATTCATTTTGTAAACGTTATGGGAATACTACTTTTGAAGGTTCTCTGAACATTATGAAACGAGTAATAACAAAAATTTAGAAATCAAATAAAATAAAATGTTTAACAAAAAAACAAAACATTCCATGAACGATGTATAAATACATTTTGTGCTAACGTTTAGCGTCCAAATAACTCATTATAAACATTTTACTGGAAGCACGTTTGTTCATAACTGTGGGAGAACCTTGTTCCTTGTCTCTGTCCACAGTTTTTCGGTTGTTTTATGTTAACATGTGCTAGATGGATGTCTTTGGCCATTTTGTATTTTAAAATGTGTCTAGCGACTTCATTCTGCTCAGGTGTCCTGTGACTCTCACTCTTCGTTTGGTTATATAAGTCTCTTATAGAAGTGTGTACATGAATGCTACTTACGATTAAATTTTGATCCTGAGGCTCATACTTCATCTTTTAAGACATTGCAGTCAATCGCTCTGTTGACATCTGCAGTCCTCATAGACTTCTTGAGTCAGTAGAAAGGTCTCGTTAGTGTCCTGTAAGTAATTGTAACTGTGACCTTAATTGTCAAGCGCCTGTAAACCGTTAGTCTTAAAGGCATAGCTCACTTTGAAATTAATTTTTGATGTTTGATATTACCTCAAGGGCATCCAAGATGTAGGTGTCTTTGTTTCCGTGGTTGGCAACAAGAGGTAAAAACGATTTAAAAACTGTTCGTTTTCTCACACAAACCACTCGTTTGTGTCTTAGGCCATCCCCAACTATCCCTTTAAGGACTGATCCACAGGTGCATGTGCTAGAATTGTTGATAGTTAATTGAACAAGCATTTGAACTCCCTTTTCAAAAGATCTGTTAAGATCATTTGGATTTTACAAAATTATCTTTAAAATCCAATATCCTAAAAAAGACTCTTATTTTTGCTGTATTTGTATTCCATGAATGCACAAGATGTATTAATAGGCCACTAAAGGGGCGTTTAATGTCTGAAATCAGCAAGTCCGGTGATCTGAATGTGAGGGAAAAAGGGAAAGAAAGAGTGAGCTGAGAGTTGCGAAAGAGCTTTAACAGGGAAAAATGATTCACAGGTATAAGATTTCCCATTAGAGTCTGCTAATTATTTCCACACCATTAGTGGCAGCTCTCTAATGAGGGATGTGAGCAGACTGCAGTATATCACAGCGTTCTGGCTCTCCTCGGCTGTAACCCCCTCCTCATGCCCTCTTAACCCACACGGGCACAGAGGGGCAAGAGCTGAGGGCATGTTCAAATAATCTTTTCTGATTGAATTCCTGCTGAAATAGATGTCGAGGCGGACTCACCGCTGTAATATGAAATGTTTGGTATAGGGCTTGTTCTGATGTAAGAGGAGGTTCTGCATTCATATGGGAAATCACACACTCCGCTGTTGTGTCCCACTCTATTTATTCATTTTAAAAAACATACTGTAAAGTGACTTAAACACTTTTAAGGGTTAGTTCACCCAAAAATGAAAATTCTGTCAGTATTTACTCACCCTCATGTTGTTCCAACCCCGTAAGACCTTCGTTCCTCTTCGGAACACAAATTAAGATATTTAAGATATTAAGATCGCTCCTGCATACAGTCCATAGGCTTCTTGAGGGACTGGCTCTTGCTGTCCTCGAAAAGTCATTAAAGACATCGTTAAAATAGTCCAAGTGACTACAGGGGCTCAATCTTAAGTTTATCAAACGACGAGAACACTTTTGTGCGCAAAAAACAACAAAAATAACGACTTTATTTCAACTATTCGTTTATTTCTCTCTCTGCGCGAGTCAGGTTACTAGTAGCGTAAGCGCTTCTGTTATTGTACGTCACACGCATCACACACACATGACCAGCGTCGGCCAATAGTGAGCCTACGTGTGACGTGGCTCTACGCAATCACACTACGTTAACTGACTTACAGGCTCATGGAGAAGGAAGTGAATAGTTGAAATAAAGTCGTTATTTTTGTTGTTTTTTTGCGCACAAAAGTGTTCTCGTCGTTTGATAAACTTAAGATTGAGCCCCTGTAGTCACTTGGACTATTTTAACGATGTCTTTCTGACCTTTGTTACAAAAAGTCGACGCACACTTTTAATAATTGAAATGTTGGTTTTTAGTGCTAAAAGTTCATAATAAAACATAATTAGTATTTGTCAATAAAAAAAGGTAAAATTATATTTTAAAAAGGTAAGAAGTCCTCTAAAAAGTATATGTATATTTATTTTTTTATTATATCACATTTTAGTAGTTATCATAAATTAGGTATCATTTGAAAGCTTACAAACTCTGAATTCATCCTGTGAAATCCGTTTTGGAATTGAACGTTTCGCTACCATAGAAATGGTATTTTTTTATTAGGCCCCTCCCCTTTTGGGCATCATCTTTACTAATTTATTATCAAAACCTTTTCTAATCTTGACAAAACACATTGTCAGAAAGGTCTGAGTCATAAGGGTCCATATTTAGTGATAGAAGTGATATTTGGATAGAAATAAATTTATGTCAGAATGCATACAATTGAATTCAATGGCACCCGGTGGCTATTTTTGGTATAATGCCTAAACAAAATCTCATGACAACTTCAATTTTTGTGACATCAATTTTAAATTTGGAACACAACTTCATTTTAAAGTAAAAAATATTTTGTAAAACATTAATTTTATATTAAAAATATATATATTTAAGTTTTTGATTTACTGTAAATTATAACTTCTTAACTTTTTCATACTTTAATTTTTTGAAGTGCTTTCACTTCAGTAATAATCTGCTGAATGTTTTCATTAAAACAAGAACAAACTTGGGTCTATATTCCAAAGCATTCTTGAATAACAACCATTTAGGTTTGTATAGTGCATTTTAAAGTCAATAATCAAAAGGGGGGTTGACGGGTAAAGTGTTAAAAATAACCTTACAGATACCCTGATGACGTTCGTTAAAAAGTCTTCAAAATCTACGACATAAATTAATTGAAGATGTGAGGACAGACTACACCATTTTAACCACAAGTCAACTTAAATTGTCAGAGATCTAAAAACAAAACCAAAAATGAACATTTAACCCTCCGTCCTGCACAACACCCACAAAGACTACAGATCTTAAAAGCAAAACTTTTATTCCAGTACTACACCAGAATATTGCGCAGTCATAAAAGCATCTAAAGATTAAAAACAGTAAAGAACAAGTATTGCAGCAAACAGTTTTCCAAGTAATCAATACAGTACAGAGATAAAAACACTCCCTTTAAAAAGAATTACACATTTAAAACAATGCAAATGTAGATTTCATGTAGATAACTCCCAACGGCCTACTCAAAGCACCCGCCGCGGAAGCCGTGAATCACATCAATGGTCAACGAGAAGCGGCAGTTTTGGTTGGACTCCACAGAACATGGCGAACGTTTTATTCTCCTTCCTCCAATTCCTTCTTTAAACTGCAGAGAGAAGTCAGAAACATTGGTTACACCTTTGTAGATTTCCCAAAAGCCACAGAGTGAGTGACAGAGACGTCAACACACCCCAACTAGAACTCTAAAAGCAGTAAAGACAGGCAAACATGCATTCTGGCAAAGAGCCAAACATCTACATTGTTACACCAAAGAAATAGTCGGATGAAATCCGAAATCCGGTTGCAACTAACGATTATTTTTTTACAATCGATTAATCGGACGATTATTTTTTCGATTAATCGGATAAAAAAATTCTATTAGATTTTTTTGACACAAGCCATAAACAAAGCAGTGCGTGCTTCCGTTTTAAGCATCAATCCTGCTAAACTCTTTCTTTATTCAACTCCGCTTGGGTTGACATTGAAATATTCGCCAAGGAACACTCGGATGAGATGACATAACGTAACAGCCTTCTATCTGAACCATTCTGACTTCTTTGCTTGCTGTTTTGCTTTAACTCCCGTGCATTGAATGGCGTTTCAGCTTAATGAAAGAGTCAGAGTTCCCTCTTTCACCGACGCCGATTCAACATGTCGAATCGGCCGAAACAAAGCCGACGAGGATCAATGTCAGCCGACGGTATGGAACACACCGAGGAAACTTAGGCCCTGTTTACATGAGAACACTCGTGTGTGAAAACTTAAAAATATTTTATCGGATGTGCCTTTCGTTTACACGGCGACGGCGTTTTTGAAGCTTAAAAAAGTGAAACCACCCTCCAGAGTGGAAATCTTAAAAACGCTCCACCGCCGTGTTCCCGTGTAAACGGTAAAAACGCAAAAGTCTGCTTGACCGTGAAGGTTGTACGCAGGCGCGTGGACTTGGTGTTGTTGTAGTATGCACTCCTAGCCGCCTGAAGTGCAGACTACATTGAATCACACACTTTTGTGTCACAATTTGCACACGGATTTCCCACACAAAATGCTCGTCTAAACGCAGAATAAAAAAAAAAAAAAAAAAAAACAGCGCCACTTTTGCGGTTTCTCTTCAGAATCGTTTCCGTGTAAACATAGCCTTAGTTGGCCGACCGTCGGCTTGGTGTGTACCAGGTTTAATGGAAGCTCGTTTCTGGCAAAGATTAAAACATTTCAGTAGAGAATTCTGACTTTATCTCTCAAAATCGGGAGTTTATAACTCACAATTCTGACTATTATAACTCACAAACTCTATAGTATCCAGCTGCAGACACGCAGCACACCAGTTTCAGAACCCCAGCACCAGAACCGGACATAAGGGGCGGAGCTTGCGTTCCAACACCAGCACCAGGGTTGTAAGTGAGGGGCGGAGCTTAGATTCAAAACCTAATAACGCCACCTAACTTAATTTGGAGGGTATTTTACACATGAAACCGCTTATTGAACATGAAACATTCTACTCTATATGCATGCATGTTATGATGCTACATTACAGTACAATACACATTTTAAAACATTGATTTTGTGTAATATAATTGTATATGGTTATCGGTTTCATTGTATTATGAGTTACTTCCAGATCATGATGGTGAAAAAATAATACTTGAAACTTGTACATTAAAATGCTCATAACAGTTTAATTATTTTAGCTATGCAGTTTATACATGCGTGTAGATTTATGAAGGAAAGACCTTTGTTGTTTTTTTTACAGTTAACTCTGTATAATAAAGCTTTGAAAGATATAAAACAAGACAAGCATGGGAGGTTTTCAAAATTATACACAATTCGATAACTGATTAGACCTCTGTGATATTTTATGTTCCATTTATTTATTGTGGTTAAAAAAAATCTTAAATTGTTTTGATAATAAAGATTGTTTAATTCTGGTTCTGGCGCTGGGCTTCTGAAACTGGTGGTGCTGCAGGTCTGCAGCTGGATATATCTCGACAAAAATCACAATTGCGAGTTACAAAGCCCAATTCTAAGGAAAAACTAAAAAATTTGCACAAAAAAAATAAATAAAAAAATTGTGAGTTTCTCACAATTCTGAGATAGTCAGAATTGCATAATGTAAACTCACAATCGAGAGGAGTCACAATTACCCTTTTATTCTTATTTTCTTAGGCGGAAACAATCTTCCATGGCGTTTATACATTCATTGACTGAAGTTTATTTCGAACAAAATACATATTAACACGCAAATAAAAACAGCACAGCTCATCTCCCCTATACATAGATATAAATATACACACACACACATTATTTACACTTATAAAAACAGTTGCTCGAAAGGGAATGGAAAGTAGTATAACTTATTTACTGCCACCCCCAATTCCTTCCCTTATATTACCCCATATCCACTGCCATTAACAGTAAAATGAATATTTATTTGATATTATAGTTTCTTACAATTACATTATGCTATGTCAATAATCACTATAATCTGATAATCCTCATTATCGTAAACATTAAAATATGTCCCGATATCTATACTAATCACATATTTAAAATATCACCATTTCCTAGCATTTCGCTTAAACAGTTTTACAATAACAGTAATTAGTCATCATCATTATTATTTACTCAGCTATGAATACATATCCCACTCTATTGTAATTGAGTCGCCATTTACAATATCAAGATATAATCCTTTTATAATCCTAAATATTAAACATAATAGCGTTACGATGAAGTTAACAGTAATAGCTACTAAAAACATTACCTTTTGAGATAAGAGTGCACATTGTCATAGCCATGGTACTTGGCCAGGTACACGAGCACACCGGTGGCACAGCGCCCCTCTCTGGCCCGGCAGAAACTGCAGTTACAGATGCCCCTGCACGGCGGGCAGTGCCACTCCTGGAAGAGAACCACCACATCATCAATATACTCTCATCATTCAGAACACAAGCCAGTGCTGATGTCAGGATATGCAGAGAGACTAACCGGGTTCAGGAGGGCGTCATGGACCTCTTCTCCATAGCGGTTCCTGAGACAAGGCCCGCAGAACTGCCCGCGAACACCCACACACTCATGGTTGCGGCAGTTGGTCTTGGTGTCAGTGGTTTTCTGGCGGCACTGATGGCAGGTTGAACCCTGACGAACAAAAGCACAGTCACACACAGTTCTAGTACGCTTCAAACAAGCGGGAAGACGAACACGGAAAGCGTGATATTCAGATTCAAGACTCACTGTGGCACGGTTGTAAGTCTTCTCTCTGACGTTGACACAGATGTTGTCCAGTTCAGCCTGAGTGATTTCCTCCACAGGCCTCACGACATGAGGAATCGTCAGAGTGCTGTTATAACTGCGCCGCCGTGGCTCTTTCTACTCAACACACATATTCCATATAGTCACCTTACTTGAATGCAACAAGACATGCAAGTGATTCGTCCATGGCAATAATTGGCCATTTTGAGACTGAATGTACAGTACCGCTCAAAAGTGGATTTTGGGGTCAGCAAGACTTTTCTTTAAAAATTTGAAGTTCACCCTAAACTGAACATTTGCTGTTAATTAAGATTTTTAGCTGAAACCGTGGTCACTGGTCATTTATTTTAAGGAGTAGTTCACTTTAAATTATCAGCACAAGTTTTTTTTTTTTACTCACCCCCCATGTCATCCAAGATGTCCATGTCTTTCTTTCTTCAGTCAAAAAGAAATTAAGGTTTTTGATGAAAACATTCCAGGATTTTCTCCATATAATGGACTTCAATGGGAACCAAACGGTTCAAGGTCCAAAAGACAGTTTCAGTGCAAACTGTTCAAAGGGCTTTAAACGACACCAGACGATGAATAAGGGTCTTATCAAGCAAAATGATCACTCATTTAAAAAAAAAAAAAAAGATTAAGTTTTATAAGCACAAATGCTCGCCTTGCTCTGTTCTGTGATGCGCGTTCTTGACTCCGCTGTTCGAGCTCGTTCATCAAAATGAACGAATCTTTTTTTCGAGTCACTTGGTTCATTCAACGAACAAAACGGAAAATTTGACTTGGAAAAAGATTTTCATTTTGATGAACGAGTTTGAACAGGAGAGTCACGAACGCGCATCACAGAACAGAGCAAGGCGACCATTTGAGCTTATAAAACTACTTATGAGCGATCGTTTCGCTTGATAAGACCCTTAATCATCGTCTGAAATAGTTTACAGCCCTTTGAACAGTTTGCACTGAAACTGTCTTTTGGACCTTGAACCTCTTGGTTCCCATTGAAGTCCATTATATGGAGAAAATGCTGGAATGTTTATCAAAAAGCTTAATTTCTTTTCGACTGAAGAGAGAAAGACATGGACATCTTGGATGACATGGGGGTGAGTAAATTATCAGAAAAAGGTTTTTTTTTTTTTTTTTAAAGTGAACTACTCCTATAATGCAAGTCAACGGCAACAGTCACTTTGGAAGCGGAATACAGAACAAAATGAATATCCGTGGCGATACATTGAGGTCTTATGAATCGAAACGATTGGTCTGTGCAGGACATTTATTTCCTGCAACGTTCCGGGAAGCGTTCACAGCAGTCTGGAGTATTCCTGTCACCGGTCCTCCCTCTGTTGTAAACAAACACAGCTTCGGCCCATGTAAGAGTTTGCCGTGTATACGTCATGCGACAGTAAGCTCACACTCCAGACTCCCGTGAACACACTCAGGACCGTACGCAAAGACTGAAGATTATTTCTAGCATTTATACCTGTAATCCAGAGTTTCTTCCACGGACTGATCGGTTCGCTTCACAAGACTTCAGGAATCATGGGTATTCATGTTGCCCGTACTTGTTTTGACTCTGTACCCATTGACTTGAATCAGTAAGAACCACGGTCTCAGCTTAAAACCTTTACACTGAAGAAAAACTCTATATATGGGATAGCCTGAGGGTGAGTAAATAAACAACTGATTCTCTTTTTTGGGTGAGCTAACACTGTTACCCTCAATCAGGTCACGGGTCTATACGACCCGAATCGACTTTTACTTTAAACATTTTAAAAAAAAAAAAAAAAAAAAAAAAAAAAGTTTACACTTCAGGTCTTCGGGGTCAATATGAGCCCATATTGAAATGAATGGGAAATGTGAAAACTAAATATATTTTCTTCATGCGTCCAAAAAAACCTGGCATAAATTGACAATTTTACACAAAAAAAACTAATATTTCATATGTAAGCTAATGGTGTAGTTGATGAATTGTGTGGTATATGGATACAAAAGTACTTTATATCTCCAAAAACACAGCATTAATGAATAGATGAGAAGTAAACAAAAAATGATATATTATTTCTATGATTAAAAATGTATATTTTTTATACAATTACTCAATCAATTTTTGAAGCCCAGAAGTGTAAACAGGAAACCAAGACCATTTGAAGGTTAATATTTGTTCAACAAGTACACATTAAATTGATCAAAAGTAACTGTAAGAAAAAAAAAAAAAAAAGTTTAGCATTTAAAGTTAAAGCATTTAGTTAACGCCAAGAAACTCACCTCTTCCTCCTCATCATCGTCGTCATAAGCTCTGTTTTTGCGAACCAGGCTGTATTTGTCATCGGGATCATCCTGTGTAGCGGGGGAGGGGGGTCCGCCAGCCAGCGAGCGGGAGCGTGTGTGAGGACGGGACGGTCGGTCCGGGTCTCTCCGCCGAGCCGCGCTGGGGTCAAAAGAACGACGAGGAACTCGACGAGGCTGTGCACGGAGAAAAGAAATAAATAAAATGTTTTATAATAAAATACTGTAGTAGTTTTATTTATTTTTAAACCACTAGTAGTATTAGCATCAATACGTTTATTTTATTTCCTTTAACGCCAATCCAGTTTCTGGCGAGTTGGACACACCCCTACTTGACGCACTGAGGCTGGCTCTTCCCCCAACAATAAAGCATAATCACATCAGTTCGCCGCTCAATCGCGAGTGACTGTCAGTACTATTAGTTACTACAGCCTACAGTTCACTAGCTAGCTATGCCTTCGACACAGAAATGCGTAGGCTACTACCTGGATGCAATCATGTACGAAACAGATCGGTGTCCTTTGTGAAGAGCCATCCTTGATAGAGAGCTGAGGATCACCACCACTAACGGTTATCATTTTACACAGATAGTTTTATAAACTTGTCAGAGACAACTGTGATTCACGGATAATCTGCTGTTACTGGTGAACGGGGCCGAACCGACTATCTCCCGCCTCAACCTTCAACCTCCCGAAAGCAGTATCGCCAAATATCACCGTTGGCAGCTTTCCCGCGAGTGGGCGTGGTTTCAGCGCAGCCAGCAGACGTTTGAGAGCAGAGAATAATGCTAATTTCTTCAAGATTCTGATAGCTTATTTTATGTACTTGACAGCTTAACCAAATTTAGCTGGGTGGCTAATACTATTTTTCTGTAGTTTGACAAACTCTTAAACTTTTACATTACAGGGACTGTCTGGGTTTACTTGGTTGAAAACTTTTTCAAAAGCATCAGAATAAAACTTTCTCAGGGGAAGTAGTATTACAGTCCAGCTAAATCCATTTAATTGGATTCCAACAAGAGGAAAACTTTGGTGAACTTTCTCCTGACAGTAAAAAAAAAAATTGCGTGTTGAGCGTCCCATCCGACATTGTGTGTAAATGACTTATTCCCAGCAAACATCAAGATTTATTTCATGTAGTTGGTTGTTTAGGCACTGATCCCAGTTGTCATTTATTTTTGGTGTATGCATTTAGTGTTTGTCTCAGATCTGTGAAAGGTATTGAGCATTGGTCTTCGGGGTCAATATGAGCCCACATTGAAATCTGAAAAAAAAAAAAAAAAAAAAAAAAAAAGAAGAAGAAGAAAAAACCCAGCATAAATCTGAAAATTTTACACAGAAATGAAGGCCTAGTAATGGAGCATGAATGCAATGTTTAATGAAAAAAAAAAATCAAATATTTTATATACAAACTAATGGTGTAGTTGAGGAATTGTGTGGTATATGGATACAAAAGTACTTTATATCTCCAAAAACACAGCATTAATGAATAGGTGAGAAGTAAACAAAAAAAATGATATATTGGTTCTGTAGGATAATGTTGCTTTGGCCAATTAGCTATTAACATTATTAATAAAAATTAGTGCCGTCAAACGATTAAAATATTTAATCGCGATTAATCACATTAATGTCATAGTTAACTCGCGATTAATCGCACATTTTTATCTATTCTAAATGTCTTTTGATTTCTTTTTGTTACATTATTTTTTTCTCATTTTAATGCTCTTGTCAACATGGAAAAGTGGATCGGCTTTTAGTGCAAATGTTTTTTTTTATTATTATTAATATTGAAAATAACATTGGAATAGTGTTCAATTTCACACCAACATATATAAATAATCTCTCACACAATGCAACACTGTCTATCAATAAAAGGGTGAAAGAAATACTGACGAGGTCCTGATATTGACGAGGGGGGCGGAGAATTCGCATCAGCTGTGTGTGTGTGTGTGCGCGCTTGGCCATCAAGTGGTGTTTCAGACTGGACGTGCTGCGATGATGATCGCTCAGTTCACAACGACAAAACACACAGATCCCTTGGTCTTGTCAATGGAACCATTTGGCAACTTTTTAGAAGTAAACTTTTCATTCAGAATCTTAGAGCATCCATTTCAGCATCTCGCGCTCGTCATCCACTCAAAACGTAACTATTTGGCCGGCCGAAACGTGTGTGCGGCACAAAACGTCCTTGCGCTGCGCTCTGAAAGCCATTAATTTCAATGGCTTGCACCGCGCGAGGACGTTTTGTAGCTTCTTCGACCAAAGCGCAAGCGGATCTAGAGCGTAAACAAAACAGGCACGCCGCAAACACACGTTTCGGCTTGTGAGCCGGCTATGAGTGGATGACGAGCGCAAGACGCCAAAATGGACCAGGACGCATGCCGTGTCCTGTTGCAAAAGCATGTGAAAACTACAAAGTTTGCTAGGGAAAAAAGACCATTAATCGCGCGATAAAAAAAATTAACGCCGTAAAATGGGTTTGCGTTAACGCCGTTAATAACGCGTTAAACTGACCGCCCTAATAGAAATGTTACATCTTTACGGTTAGTATTAAAATTAACATCTATTATCAATTTAATTAGCACCTTAAAATCTTACCGTATTGCCCGGTGACAAAGCAGCCTTCCCAGGAAACAGTCCAGGAACCTTATCCAGCTCTGCCATTAGTTTAGCAAGCTACAAGGGGAGGGAACAATTCTGTTAAAACTGGATTCGCACTCCAATCAGAATTGAATTTTAACTTCAAGCACATAAATGCAAATGAGTAGGCTATCTAGGGCTGGACAACCATTTCATGAATGGAAAGTTATGGAAAATAAGTTGACTTGCTCACCATCGCTTTATTTTCTTTAATGTTCAGCGCTCTCTTCATCAGGAAGTTGTCACTCTCAGGGTCAGACTCGGGGACTTTGGCTTCAGGTTTGGGTTTGGACTCGGGGGTCACTGGCTTCGATGGACTGGCCCGTTTGTTGGGGAACTTCATGGCTACTCGGAGTGTGAACGATTTGCGAGTTTTCCTGGGAGGCGAACAAGTTTCAGAGTCTGAGTCCATTTTCTGAAAGGAAATGCATAAATATGTCAAAAGCCATTTTATAAAGCAACGACTACAGACATAAAAATGATTTTCTGTCATTACAAACCATTTCGGTCATGCCATCGTTCAGGTCACTCTCAAAACCACTGCATGCGTCCTCTTCCTCGGTCGCAGGTAGAACTTTAAACACTTTCTCGATCTGAGTCGAGCTTCTCGTCTGTCTCGGTCTCTTCTAGAAGAACGTAAAAAGACAACACTTATCATGGGTCCGCTGAAAGACACTTGGAGGTCAATTTCATGTTAAAGTTAGTGTCATACCGAGTTCCCAAAACCATCAGATCCAAAACTGTCACAGCTGTCGTCCGAGGAGGAGGTTTCCATCGGGACCACAGCAGTGCTCCTGTAACTGCGCAGGTTCATTCTGGTGGAGGGCGGAGATGCCTGCAGCCTCTGGACAGGGGTTAAGCAGAACATTAATGAAGAATAAGAGCAAATACTCGAAATCCAGCACAGCTCTGACTGGTTTTTAGTAGAGATCAAAGTGTCAGATGTTCTACTTAGAGAGGGCCTGTTCATATTCTATTATTATACTGAACGTATGGCTTTAAATTGTGTAAGAAATAGAAATAGTGTGAAGTAAAAGTGAAGCCAGCTCTGTTCAAACGTCATCGGTGTCCGGAGGGCGTGAACATAACTTTAAACTCTTTAAATTGACTGCATTTCTTTTTATGCAAATTATTATTACTATTTTTTTACAAGGACGATCGAAAAGTTAAATGTAAACCGTTGCAGACGCTTTCAACTTAAATAGTTCATAAAAGAGGGTTTTTTGTTGTTGTTTGTTTAATAATTTTAACTTTCTACCAAGTTATAATGTTTTCCTGAACTTAGGGCGACCCCTATCCCCAAGTTAAACAAGTCTACACGTTTAAAACAGCAAACAATACTTACAAACACAACCACGCTCTCGAATATAACGTTACGTCCCAAACAAACACAGATATAAAAAGGGCAATCTTTTTAACTGGCAACGTTAGTTTAATCCTTTTATATCGCTGAAAAGAACTACAAAAGCCACATTCCTTCACAAAAAACACTTTCAGGTCAATAGAAAAGAAAAGCTGTTTTATTTAACAGTACCTTGGAGCGCATTATTGCAGTTCTGTGTGTAAGCTTGTGTGCAGGAGTCCTCCGTGAGCGCGAGTGTGTCTCTGTCCTGCCTGCAGTGTTTGGACTGGAAGTTTGGCGGGTAAATGTTGAAGAGGCGCGAGTCTCTGCCGCGCCACTCCAGAGTCCTGGAAGGTGTGTAAAACTAATAATAAACTAACCCATTCGAAAAGCTTGCAAATTCAAGAACTGTATTATCCGTTTAATTAAGAGTTCAGTATTAACTTGATGATACAATTGCATTAGAAGTCTGGGGTTATTTAAATGAAGGTGAATAAAATTATGTCTATTTGGAATTCCATCCGCTTCCAGGATCTTTAGCTGTGGCGCCAAACCTCAGAGCTCATTTGCATAAGGACACATAAATCGCGCGAAATGCAGACTAAATAAAACAAAACAAACAAAGTGTTGGTTTAAATTGTATATTTTATTATTATCTTATAAATGGATAACTTTTGAAATCCCAACAATATAATAATAAATAAATCTTTAATATCATTTAAAAGAAATAATCCTCCATAATAAAATATCACAATTTAATATATAACCACATTTAATATATAACCTGACAATATCAAACATAGAACATGTCCTCAGTTATTATGATCATAATTGAAGTATTCAGCATAGTTTCAATACAAAAAAAAAAGGAAACAAAATATATAATTCAAGTTTAAGCCTTAAGGGAGTATCAACTTTTAAAAAAGCTAAGAAAATGGTCCCTTTTCAGGAACAGCATTATAATTCATGATATTAAGATCATTATACCCATTTCATGGTGAACTTTTGCCCTCAATCAATGTCAATTTCAAAAGATTCTTTTATTTACAATACACATTCCCACACTTTCACAGACTAAATGCATGTTTGAGCTGTTTCAATTAAAGGCAACTTGCACTGACGTATCTTAAAATATGTCAGTGCCATTGTTTTGTCTCAAGATGCACACAAGTAATGTTTTTTCTAAGGCATGCTTATAAAAGCTACTAAAATGCCCCATTTGAACTAAGGCATAATCCTGGTTTAATCTAAGCCCTGTCTGTGCACAACTAGATTTAAGTGCTTTCTTTGGTTAAAACCAGCTCCCCGTTCAGCCCATACTGTGAATCAAACTTGATTCATTACCCCTTCTACCAGAATAAACGCTCAACTTCGTCCACGCCCCCCTCCCCTGCCTCCTCTCCGTGGCCGGCTTCTGGCCTGCCTTCCTTCCTGATGTTTATTTTTCCTGTTTATTAGACTTCTTTCTTTCTACTTAATCCAATCATCATCACCGGCCTCTTCAGATGCCTCTTTCTGCTTCACCACTTCAGTGACGATTGACATCCCCGGTATTGGCCGTTGGTGGTTGGATGGAGTTGTGTACGAGCTGTTTCGTGGCCGCCCAGCCTGTTGGAAACCTCTGGATCCTCTCTGTGCATCTGATTAAACCTTCCTGGTTCTCCGTCTCCTCGTCCTCCTCCAGTGATCTTAATCGTGTGGTCGTAGAAGGTTTTTTCTGTTGTAGTTGTGTTTAGCTCCGGCGCTAGGGGGCGCTCTCGCTCGGAGGCGCTCTCAGACGTCGTGCTGGACGGGCTGCTGCCCTTCGACCCCAGGTGGATGTTGGAGAGTTTGACTGAAAGAGTGGGAGAGGAACTCCGCGAGTCGTTCCATTGGTGTGCGAGGGCTGCGATTGGGCGACTTCCTCAACGGCGGGCATACGATGATTGGTTGGAGATGACTGACAGGAACTGAGGTAGGGTTATCTTGCCTGTGGACTCCTGGGTAGCTTGTTCTCTCCTCTGCTTCATTCTCAGGTTGTAAATCCATCTGGGATCAACACCTGATTGAGAAACACAAAAACAATCATTCAATTTTATTTTATAATTGTACAAAGTAGTTACACAATAAGGCCTTAAAGGATTAGTTCACTTCAGAATTAAAATTTCCTGATAATTTACTTATGGACTTCAATGGGTTGAAAGGTTGAAAGGTCAAGCGTGATGTAGGCGGAAGTACAGTACAGACCTAGTGTTTACAAAGCGAAAGTGCAAATACTAAGTCAAACGCCATTTACACAAAAAAAGGTAAAACAAAGATGTCGGACGGTTTTGAAGATGGAGGAGATTTTCGCCCTACCCTACATTTTTAAGCCGGAACACACGTGACCTTTAAACGTGATTATGTAATACGTGGCATATCACAGAGCTGAGAGCTCAAGATGATCATTTGTGGTTAAAGGGATACTTCAGGATTTAGCATTAAGCTTTGTATTAGTAGAAAACCTGTAGTATTTTCAAATTACCGTGCTTTCCACCCTCATATCCCCCTGAGACGAGAGATTTATGGATTTTTTGTCTGGAAAAAATCCTCTGATGAAGCAAAAATCGTCATTTTGCATCATCGGAGGATGTTTTGTCCAGAGGCTAAAGACTACAGTCAGTAGTAGGGTCTGTCCCGCATGTTCTCAACCCGCCCATAGAGGGTGATGGGATCTCACTCACAGAATGAACACATAGTGTCGGCCATCTTTGTTTGGAAGCTAAGCTAGCAGGCTCTTCTTCTGTGGAGAAAGCCGAGTTACCATCCACTTTTTCCCGCACATGTCCGGCCGTCGATGTCCGGGATTTAGCTGCAGTCGCCATTCATTGTTTACATGCACACCCCTTTTGTTTCAATCTAACTGAATTCATTCCGATTGGTGAATCTGAATGTAGTGTTTACATGAACGCTAAACAAGTGATCGGTTGATATGCATTTTAACATTGCTAAGAAAACTCCCGCTCCTCCGTGAGAGATACGAGACTGGTGCGTCTCACAGGTGTGGCTCATCGGTAATCACGCCACCGGCCTCGTGCCGTTCTCCTGCGGCCCTCACTCGTCCCGCTCGCCACACTAAACATGATGAATGGCGACTGTTGAACGCAAAAGCCGAATCCCGGACATTTTGGGCGATCTCAAAACACATTTTCAGGCAGACTCATCACAGAGATTCACTAGTAGCCTAGACTTGTTGTTTAACGACTGCGCTCTGTTACCGGTAGGCGTGGCCTCCTGAGGCAGCGAAGCAAGTGCATTCTGGGAGTTGTTGTCTTTCATCCACATGAACCAAAAATACATTTTCTGGTTTTTCTCAGTCTAGAAAGCTCCAAATTCAAAAATAATTTCACATTTCTTCTACATAAATGACCCATTTTAAACACACATTCATCTTTCCAGAGGTGATGTATCCCTTTAAGAAGTATATAAATGTTAATTTTTTAAAGCAAATGACCAATCATTTTGCTAAATAAGAACCTTATTCCTCAGCTGGGATCATGTAGAGTATTTTTTTGTCTTGTAACGTAAGTGTAGAGTCTTTGAAGCTGCACTGAAACTGCAATTTGGACCTTCAAACCATTGAAGTCCCCATTGAAGTCACTATACAGTGAAAAATCCTGGAATGTTTTCCTCAAAAACCTTCATTTCTTTCCGACTGAAGAAATAAAGACATAAATATCTTGGATGATGTGGAGGTGAGTGAATCATCAAGATATTTTAATTCTGAAGTGAACTAATCCTTTAAAAACAGATTGCTAAAAAGAAATGAAATCTCAGGAGATCAAACTAAAGCTGGTTTATTTTCTATTCATTTTAAGTGGGGTTTGCATTTTTTTGCAACCAAATAAAATCTTAAAAATCCAAATAAAACTAAAATAGATAAATACATATAACTTGGGCAGGTTAAGTTGCAGGATTTTTCCAAAATGAAGCATTTACTTGGATGTCACGAGTAAGTTACTTGACGAAAAGTTACAGTAAAAATGACCGATTTTACTGTAAATTTGGTACCACGGTTGAATGGCTGAATGCGACAAATACAGTCAACAATTTGTGTAAACGGTTATTTTTTACTTGAATTAATCTAGGAATTATACTGAAATAGTTATCCAATATAACACATTTTAATATGACTAAAAAAAAAACAAAAAAAACATTTTAATATGACTCTCTGTGAATCAGTGAATAAGCATTACCCGAGTTGGACCTGCTTCTGTTGTAACCTTCCCTGAGGCTCGCGGCCGTCTCGATGAGCAGCTCTACTGGTTTGATCACGTCTCTCCCGCTGTCGGGACTCCACCGCAGTGTGTGCACATGTCTCGTGCACTTCGGAGATCTCACGTTACCCTATCAGGAAACAAGGCACCAGTTGAAAACAGTCTCATGCCCCATTATAACCACATCTGTAATTTCTCAAGACATACTGAATATTTATAAGCTATTCAGCAAGTTGCACATAAGCAGTTTCTTGAAACAGGTTATACTATTTATGTAGCTAAACTGACAGACATCACATCAGTTATCAACCTGAAAGTACTGTCTAAAATAACAGAAATATCCAGTTAGATGTTACATATCCACATAAAATTAAAATCGGCCATTTAATTTGTTAGTATGCATTGCTACCTTTGTGGAAAAACAAGAGCGTTTAATTGTATTGTATGTGCACTTGTTAAAAGTATATTTTTTAACAACTGTATTTACTTACTGTACAAAAAAATCCACTTTTCATGAGAGCACATGCCTATATTTCATGCCTATATAATAAAAAAGTCTTGCAGTAAAGCACATTTTAAATTCAGTAGTTTCAATGATAAATGTCATGCTTTAAAGAAGTGCACTGATTGTTGACTAACATACTAAAGCACATGTAAAGTACTTGATATTAATTTTAACTGTAGTGTCATTCAATATTACAATTAACGTTAATATATTTTAAATGCACTAAATTACAACTTTATCATTACAAATGTGTAATTAAAGACACATATTTATGATTTATTACTATAACACATTTTTGTATCTAATTGCATTAATAAGTAATTATTATTTCTCTAATAAGTACTCTTTTAAAGTAAGCTAAAGTAAACAGTACTTCTTTTTTACAATGCTATTATTGTACACATTATTCCAAAGTAAAATAATGTTAGTCTTTGGAATCTTTTATCAAAACTTTATAGAATATGCAGTTCCACTATATATATATATATATATATATTAGGGCTGTCAACAATTAATCTCAATTAATCGCATCCAAAATAAAAGTTTTTGTTTACATAATATAT